GATTGCCCAGAAGGACGTTCAATATGTTACGCGCTTTGGAGGCATGACAGCGCAGCAAGTCAAAGCTGAAGTCTACCGTATCTTAGAAGCGGCGTCCAGGGATATCGGCGTTGTGTGAACGATACCGTTACGAACCGAAACCGATAGATCAGTCGAAGTTTGGGTTTGCAGCCGCCCGCACGGATCCGGGAGACGAGCCGTTCGAGGTGTGTTTTCTTCGACTGTGAACAGAGGCGAGACTTGATGCGACCAACCCAGACTGCCACGTCAGCATCAGCCGCGGCTCGGATAACAAGTTCATTCATGCCGCGATAGTGACTCACTTGCTACAATAGAGCGAGGCGGCTCTGGTGTTCCCGGGCTGTCACATGTCTGCACGTATAGTGTCATTCGTATGTTGTATAGCGTTGCGTGCTGGCCAAGTGAGGAGGAAAAGGGCGGGAGGTAGGCACGAAGGGGGGGTTAAAAGGAGAGGTGGGAGGGAGAAAGGGCGACCATCAGTTTACGTCTCGCCCTAGGTAAGGAGTAGAAGAGCCAGCCTCTTTAATCCCTGCATCCGGCCCCGCTTGGTTGCTTTTCGGACGCGCCTTGGAAATAGGAAGTACTCCCACGTCATGTACAAATTTTGGCGGGTCGAAAGCAGGACGCGGCAACCATCCCGGCATTGTTTGGCAGAGCTCCAGCATATCGTGGCCTAGCACTCGTGCTTAAAACTGCATGCCGGGGAGCGTGGGCACTGCCTTGGTGTGCTCGCGGCTGCTGAGACACCTCGACAGTGGTGGCCTACGAGACATCCATCATGACGGCAGTATGCAAGCACGGAGAGGTGGTGTATGACAAGAACTTTGGTTGACAACATTTCTATCAAAACGCTTGTTACGGGTGGTTGGTCTGAAAAGGGACCAACAATACTGCTAACAAATAGGATGGGGGTTGTGCCTTCGCTTGGCCTCTCTACGAACCTAAAAGCTGAGGTGGACATTGGCCCTGACTTCCGTCGGCCCTAACTCGTCTGTCGAGTTCGCCTCTGTGGTTGCCTCTGTGGTAGGCGTCCAGCACCCTCGCCATCTGTTGGCACCCGCTCTTCTGTAGAGCGCTCACCTCGTCGTCTGTCAACGAGCCCGAGATGGCCACACCTACTGAGCTGCAGCGGTTACAAAATGTCCTCGACCGCCACGAAGCTGCCTTCTAGCAGGCCGACGCTACGATCCGCGATCTCCAAGCTCAGCTCGCAAAGCTCCAGGCTATTGTTGGCGCCAAGCCCGCTTCTCGCCCGAAACCCTGCCTTCCAGATCTCGACAAGCTATCTAGCCAGCTCCAATACGACACTTGTCCCAGGATCAAGGCGAAGCTCCGGATCGACGGAGATACAATCGGTGGCCCGGAGGCCCAGTTCTTCTACTTGTTTCCCCGCCCCGACGGCAAGACCAAGGCTCTCGTTCTTCCCCAGCTGAACGCGGTGGATGCCGACGATGGCGTTGCCCATGAACCGCAAACAGTCCATGGTCAGCGGGTCGCATCTTCGAGTCTCCAGACAAGGCCCGCCGGGCTCAAGATCGACTTGCCGACCTCAAGATGGGTACCGATGCCTTCGCCACTTACCTTTTGTTCGAACGAACTCTGTTCGAAGCTAAAGCAAATACTTGGCTCGAGGATGTTAAGATCTCCCACCTCCGTCGTGGTCTTTCCGGCTGGATACGCAAACGCCTTGCAGTTCAGCTCAACCTCCCGACCGACTACAAAGGCTACGTCAAGTGTGGATCTGACCGGCATCTGGTCAAAGACTTTAAGGGCGGAGTGGCGCCTCAGATCAGCGCAGTTGCTGGGGTTGGTACTGATGAGGAAATTTCCTGGGAAGAGCTGGAGGCTCGGCTTTTTCGACGGTCAGACTCCGAAGGCTTTTGCTGTTGCCGCTTGTTTGTTCTTTCTTGTTGGTGCGGATTTAGACGGAGGTGTTGGAAGGGCAGCCAAAGGTTGCACAAGGCAAAAGGGATCACGCAGGGGATCCCGAGAACCGGAGATCACCGGTCATACACGGAGGCTGTGCAGGCTGCAAAGCAAGGACCAACACCGGGGCTTGCCTTGCACGACCGTACTCCGCGGCCTCCGTGGCCGGCCTGTATAGCTAGGAGGGCTCGCACGAGGAGCCCTTCCTTTGTACTTAGAAGACAGACGATTTTTGGCTATATATTAAATACCAAGACCTTCCCCAATGTCGGTACCGACACAGCGCCACGAACAGAGGAATCGGGGGGTAGTGTCGTGGCGCGGCGTGTGGACCCAGTGCACGGACCATCTCGTGGGATCTGGGCCGTGACACCCCGCCTGCCACCTCGTAGATAGATTCCTCCCTCCTCATCTGCAATTGATTGCTCACATCCAGATCACGTACTATCGTGCCGTAACACCAGGCTCCCATAACTACCTCGAGGTACCCACTTGGGTTTGCAATCTTTATTTGCCAGCCACGAAAACGAGCGAAGCAGCCAGAGAGCGATTCTGCCACTTTACCCTACACCCAGGGTGTCCCCTGAGAACCACGGAATGGCGCAAAAGACCTGGTTCTTGCCGCCCGATTTTACATTTCGTCCCTCTGGGGAGCTCGCTCTGGGAACGATAATCAAGGATCCCAGCCGCCCGACTCTCGCCTTAGCCGCCCTTGGCTCCAATGAACACCCCGAAATCGTCCTTCCAGTCATCGAAACTCTCCTCGAGCCCGGCCACTTCCACTCCCACGGCTCCAAGCGGTCCGGCGGTGCAAACTTTCTCGCCAAGTTCGTCGACCTAGCATCGGCCTCGGCGAACGCCAACATGTCACGCTACAAGGAGTGGTCGCTCGGCAAAGTGGACCTCGAGGTCCGAACCTTTAATAAGGCGATAAGCGAAGACTCTCTAAAGGCAATAACGAGGCTGGAACGGGTGAAGAAGTATATGAGCAGTGGACGATTCGGCAAGAAGCCTGTTTATATCATCTCCGGGTTGCGGGTAGCCAAAAACTCGTTCCAGGTGATGGACCAAGCCGGGTCAGTGGCGTTCATGTCGATGGAAGCATCCGGGCCCACCCCGGCGTGGACCCTACCCCTGGAGCTCGGGGCCGGCATCTCTGGTAGCCGCGAGCAGAGTCGAACGGATGCCTACCGGACGGCCGCGGACATTGTATATGCGTACAGGGTTCATGTGATTCGGGCAACAAGGGACGGCGAGGAGGCGGAGCTGTTCTCTTATAGGACGGCCTTCGGTGAAGGCGGAAATGATGAAGACGAGGCGCAAAATATGGAATGCGTTGATGCGACCGCAAATGTGCTGAAGGAGGATTTGGAACTGGGGCCTGACTTCGACGAGTACTCACTGGGGGAAGGTGAATCTTATATCGTCTTCAAGGGGCGTACCTAGTGCCCTATACAGTCTAGCGCCGCCAGCCTCGCTTGTGGACACCAGGTGGAACGCAAAAACTGCCAGCCTTTGCCGCGTCTGCTTTAAAATACATCTCATTTCAATAAGCGTTCGACTTTTTCATCTTTCCTGCTTGCTTGACACCCGGCTGGATTAAATACTTCATTTATCGCGACGCACCCGCTGGATTCCCAAAGCTTGCAGGTGCTGGCTCTTGCTAGCTGTGGATGCTGCGATTTTTGGTGGCAGGACGCTGAGAGCCTCGCGCCGTGCGGGGTCGTCGAGCTCCCATTCTAGCGCGGGGCTTGCGAACGCGAGGGGCTGTCGTGCCCCCTCAGTCGCGGGCCTCTCGGCCGTTGTTAATTACCCCGCTATTAACAGCGACGCTTCGTGTACGATGCGAGACGAAAGCGGCAGGCGGATAATTCACACGCTGGGCGGTGATCGCGGCTAAAGGCCTGATTTTGACTACTACCTACTTGCACTCAATTTATGCCTCGTGCATAGAA